ACAAATATTACAGCATCCGGAAATTGCATGAATGATATTGAATCTGCAGTAAATTCGGATTTAGAAAGACTTCGAAAGTGGCTTATGGCAAATAAACTGAGCTTAAACGTAGCGAAAACTGAATTTCAATTAATTGGCACTAAACATATGCTTAAAAAAATTAGTGATTACCAGCCAGCAGTTACTATTCTAAATAAACCAATAAAGCAAGTTTTCCAATGCAAGACTTTAGGAGTTACTGTTGACGAAAATCTATCTTGGAAAAGTAACACTGAGAGTATATGTAATAAAATATCATCTGGGATATATGCTCTCAAACAAATTAAAACGTTTGTTGATATAAAAACACTCATATCGGTATACAATGCTTTGATCCAACCCTATTTCAGTTATTGTTGTGAAGTATGGGATGTATTTGGCGAAACCCAATCTAAACGTCTGCAAAAGCTTCAAAACAGAGCAGCTCGCATCATAGCAAGTGTACCGAACGATGTTGATCAGCAAACTGTATTGGATTTATTCGGATGGAAAACATTAAAAGAACAACGATTAAAAACTAAAGCGAAAACGATGTTTAAGATACTTCATAATATGGGGCCAAATTGCCTCAAAGACTTATTCATTTTCAAAAAAAATGAAATATTAAATCATAATCTCCGTGACAGCTCGACCACATTACGGTTGCCAAAGCCACGTTCGAACAGTTTAAAAAAGAGTTTCATGTATGACGGAGCTGTCATATGGAACTCTTTGCCAGAAATTATTAGAGAAAGCAAAACGCTATCAATTTTCGAAAGGAAAATCGCTACCCATTCTTACTAAAGCATGAATGTAAATAGTAAATTAACGTATATTATATAGTATATTTTCTTTTTCACATATATGCATGTAATTTCTTACTACCTTTATCTTTTTTTTTTCTTGTAAATTTACTTTTGTTCACACGCCCATTGTGGAAACCAGCTTTAGCTGACAATGTTAGCGTGGTTAAATAAAGTTTATCATCATTTATCATCACAAAGTGGCACCTGCGACGAGATCGAAGTATGGATAAACTAGAGAAAGATTTAACCGGGAAATTAAAGCTATTAAAATTTACGTTCGAGAAAACATCAGAAATTGTGAGTAAAGCACACATTGTCGCCTTCTGAAGACAACGCGAAGCATTGCTAAAGATTACTGCGAATATCGAGGATGTAAAATTACAGATTTTAAAAGGAAATTTTGAACGGGGAGACAACTATGAAACAATTACAAATTGGAGCAAAAATGTCGAAGAACAAGTCGAAGAAGTCGATGCGGAAGTCGAAAAGCTACAAAAATATTTGGATGAAATGAAAGCCAACGAAGCGAGAAAAGTGAAGGAAGCTGAACGGGCACAACAACTACAGTTTGAGAAAAAACAATACGAACAAAAAATGCATTTTGAGCACAACGTTGATGAAATCAAGAACGATAAAACTACAAAAAGGCCGGATCAAATTCAAACGAAGTTTCCCAAGTTAATTATTATCCCATTTAATGGCGCACCAACCGATTGGCTTTGTTTTTGGAACACATTTGAAACCGAAATAGACAACAACCATGATATAGCACCCGTAACCAAATTCCCCTATCTAAAAGAACTTTTGAAACCAAATGTTAGATCAACTATAGATGGACTACCATTTTCAACTGAAGGATATACCAGAGCGAAAAATATTTCGAAGAACAAGTATGGCAACACCACAGAGATTGTCAACGCCTATGTGCAAAACATTATGGCTTTACCAGTTATCAATGGTACACAATCCTGGAAAATACACGATTTTTATGAGAAATTATTATTCAACGTTCAAGCACTCGAAACTTTAGGAAAATTAACTGAGATAAATGGTTATGTGCGAATGTCGATAGACAAGCTGGAAGGGATACGGGGAGATTTACTTCGAACGGATGACAAATGGCCCGAATGGACTTTCCGAAATTTGTCGAAGCACTGCGAATGTGGACCGAAAGGAACCCCTGCCTACCACGAAAGAAGCGGAGCGAATTCCCGAGTTGGTCTTTCTATAATACCCAACAATGTACCTGTGTTTATTGTGATAAGCCAGACCACAAGTCAATCGATTGTGGCAGTGTGACTAAACCTGGTGAGCGAAGGCAGATTTTACAGCGCAAACGCCTCTGTTTTAACTATACCGGTTCAGGGCACAGAACTTCGGAGTGTATGGGAAGCACCATTCCTCCATTTGTGAAAAACCACTGAAAGAGAACCTGATAACAACCAATCAAGGAAACGAACAGCATGTTGTATATCCAGTTGTGGTTGTAGATGTGCATGGAGTCAAATGTCGTGCGTTGTTGGATTCGGGATCAGGTAGCTCCTACGCATCAGCCGTCTTGCTCAAAACGATTGGAGTCAAACCCATCAGCTCGGAAACGCGACAAATCGAAATGATGTTGAGCACCACAACACGAAGGATGGACGTTTGCACTGTCAATGTAAGCTCGCTGAATAAGTCCTTTTAAATGGACCAGGGGCGGATCCAGGATTTTTCGTAAGTTAGTCAAAGTTTTCGGATGTACAATCTAGTTTTGCGGGCGGCGAATGCGCAGGGCACCTAGGGGGGTCTGTCCCCCAGGAAATTTTATATTTTAAACCACCGGAACGCAATTTGCATCACTCTGAAAGCAGCTTCAACAAAAAATTAACTTTATGAAATGGGAGATAATTATAGCAACTACCAGTCTGCGTGACTGACTCTCACAACTCGCTCTTTAGGGAAGAGTAATAAAGAAGTACTTGCAGAAATGTGATAATTGTCGGGAAGATGTTCCATTTCATCAAATTACGGATTGCTAGTATTATGTTTAACTATCTCATGATAGTACGACACTAATTTTTGTTGCCTAATAGCCTTGTTGAGTCATTGATCACTTGACGGGCAATCACTACAGTGTCATATTACTCAAATATACATATATTAATATTAAAGTCTTAATATTCATCTATAAAACCTGACCTTTATATCCTATGTACACTGCATTAATGCATTTATATAGGCTATCCTCGATATTAATAGCCTTCTGAGTTCTGACGGACCTTCAACCGCAGAATTACAAATATGCAAATTTGATGTGTAAATCAAAATTCATAGCTAAATCTAAATCAAGATACGCGTATTCAAGTTACAATTTTACATATGCAT